CTCGCCAAAAAAAAACCGCTCTGGTTTCTTTCCACCCGCCGGGAGCCGGGGGGAGGGGCGCTAGGGTCCCGCCGGGCTGGGGCTTGTATCTTACCCCCTTCGCAAGGCGCTGGGTTCTTGCAGGTGTAGATGTGGTGTGGATGTTGTACTGTGTCCTGTGGTCTCTATTTTAGGAAGATTTTTCTTTGTTATATTTTCATAGCTCTATGTGTTTTTGGGAGGAGATTTCCACTGCTCTACTCACGCCGCCATCTTGGCTCCTCTGTGCTACATTTTAACACATATGAAATCATATTATATGTAGAATGTTGAATTCTTATTTTTTAATATAAGCATTTTTCCTTGTCATTAACAATTTTTTTCAGATAAGGCCTTTCAGTCTCTTTTTTTTTAATTATGAGTATTTTAAATGCATGAAAACTTTGCTTTCATCAACCTATTCCAGAACCTCTTGTTTTTACATGTGTAGAAACCCATCCTAATTTATTTCTTTTTGTGTCTACAGTGCAAGGGTCAAAAATTAGAACCCATCCCTCATCGAAGACTAAGAATGGTAGCAAACACCATTGAAGAAAATTTTCCCCTGGGGACTGTGCAATTTCTGATGGACTTTGTGTCACCCCAGCATTACCCACCCAAAGAGATTGTGGCTCACATCATCCAGAAAATCCTGCTCAGTGGCTCTGAGACCGTGGATGTCCTAAAGGAGGCCTACATGCTTCTCATGAAAATTCAACAGTATGAACTATAGATGTTGGTGAATCTTCTCGGGAACCTCAACGCAGGGCACAGCTTTCTCTTGCCTAAGCTTTATTCAGCTAACCATTAGAGAGGATGGCTTAGTATACTAGTGTTACTGTACTACAAGTGAGAGGAAACCCAATCCAAACTGGCTTTAACAGCCAGTAAAAAAGAATTTAATGATTCATGTGACTAGAAATTTAGGGATGAGATGTGATTTAATTCAGTTCAAAAATGGTTACCAGGATCCATTTTTCAACTCTGCTTTACTTCTGTTTTCAGGCTCCATGTGCTAGCCTTCTCAGCTCCCAGCTTTTATGATACTTCAGTGGGAGAGAGGATTTACTTCCTTTGTAATGACACAAAAGTTCTGAAATTGAGTGTTGCAGTCTTCAATGGGCATAACATAAAACATGAGCACATCTTTGAGCCAATCACTGTGAACTAAGGGGTAAAATACCATGAGTGGCTCAACATGCATCAGAGGCTTCATCCCAGGGTCCTGGCTGGTAAACCCAGCAGGCTAGGCTATGAGTAGTAAGAGTTGATTCCTGCAGGGTAGAACTGGGATACTAATGCCTCCCAAAAGAGGATAAGGGTTAGCAAAAACATGAGGTCCATTACCCTCAGATGATATACCATATCAAAGGGTGGGCAAGAGCTCTGAGGAAAGAAGAGACTTCTTGCTTTTATCATTTTTCAGATCCCACCCTTTTTCCACTAAACTCTCCAGAATTCTAACTGATGTCACTTGACTTTCAGGCTGCATCCAGCTAACGCCAAGACAGTAGAGTGGGACTGGAAGCTGCTCGCTTATGTCATGGAGGAAGAGGTAATGTAACAATTATGAGAGTGTTATCTTTTTTTAGAGGAAGTTTTAACTAGAAACAAAAGTGACAGCAAATCTGGTAGCAAAGTCTTTGCCCTTATTCCCTCCTTATACTCCCACCCCCACAAAAAAATTCTTACTGAAAACGTATGTGCTGTCTTCCAATTCAAGTTAGAATACGTTCATTTTTTCCCTCTCCTTCTTGAGATCCCATTAAAAATAATAGTAATTAGATGGAGAAAGTTATAAATCCATGGCAGTGAAAATAAGGGCAATGATAAGATATTTGAACCAAGATTAGAAGATCCAAAGAAAATATAAGAGTGATAACTGATGATGCTAGGCAGAGGAAGCCACAAGCTAGGATCCATGTGGAAGGGACTGCAGCCAAAAAGGGAGGAAATCTTCTCTTTAGAATAGAAAGGTTTTAGACTCAGAAACACGATATATAAGAGGGTTGAAGTCAGAGATGGGCTCTAAATTTGTTGAAAATTTGTGGATGAAACTGACAACCTTTCCATTCTTGAAAACAGAAGGTTCAGTTGCCAGGTTAGCTGGCCTTTAGGCAAAAAGTCAGAGAATTCATTGTCTAAAAAAATTGAGTGAACCATCTGTCATAAACAAAGGCAGCTAGTTTAGAGTTGATGTTCCAGAAAAAGTTTTCTGCATTCTGACCTTTAGGAATCCCTAAACTTAATTGCCAGCTTTCTGTCTGCCTACCCAAAAGCACCTGATTGAAACAAAACTATTTTTCACCTTAGAACTCTTTATCAGACAAACTATTAGTCAGATGTGAGGGTAGAATAAAGATATTTCCAGACATGCAAGAACTTAGAAAAATATACCCATATCCCATTTCCTAGGAGGTTACCTGAAAGGAATGCATCAAAAGAATGGGGGAATAATCAAAAGAGAGGGAGGCACAGTATCCAGGAAACATGAGATCTACTTCAGGAGATTAATAGAGAAATCCTAAGATTATAGCAAATAATAGACTGAAGAGCAAGCAGTTCAGACTGGAGAAAAATAACGTAGAATTTTAAGAAAGAATGAACTAGGAAACATCACCAAGACGTTAGACAAGGAAACTCCAGGCCCTCAATACTCCAGGCCCCAAAATACTTTCGTGAAAACTCTGGAGACCAGTTGAGATGCTGCAGTACCTGGACCAATGCATAAGCAGGAGGGAACTCTATTGAAAGGAGTAGGAAAGTCTTTGGTATTTTGTGTGCTTGTGCCCCTCCCCCTGCCTGGCATAGCATGGTGCAACTGGGCAGAAACCTCCCATATTCCAGCTTCATCCTCAGGATGGAAACAAAAGAGTGGACTTTGAGTCCAGTGTTCTGGCTTATTAGGGGGCTGCCCAAAGGATTGTTTCTGTTTTGCCAGACTCAGCACTGATGGGAACAGTGGCATAGTTTGGAAGCTACTGAAAAGAAAGGTAAACACTGCAGCATGTTAGAATTGCAGAGAGTATACAGTTCCACAAGCAGGTACCCGGAAAACAAGAGACTGAAGGCTCCTGAGAAAAATGGAGCAAGCTACTTAGGGAATTAAAACAGATAAAAGCACACATAGAAGCCCAGAGAAAACACATCCCCATAAAAGGTCTGGGAGGTCCCAGATCTCTAGCCAGGCTGATTGATGAAGGTCTTGCCCTGCACAAACTCATTGGATAAAGACTAGGAAAGGTGGTCATTTTTTCAAATGTTTACATCTCAGATAAACACTAGGCATACAAGGAAACAGGGAAATGTAGCCCAATCAAAGGATCAAAATAAAGCTCTAGAAACTGGCCATAAAGTAACACAGAGCTCTCAACTTCCTGATAAAGAGTTTTAAAAACTGCCCTAAAAGTGCTCAAGGAGCTAAAATAGAACTATCTGAAAGATAGACAACTAAATGAAGTAGGAAAATGATGCAGGAACAAAATGAGAATATTAAACAAAAAAAAACTATAGGAAGGAAACAATTCTGGAGCTGAAAAATACTATAACTGAATTGAAAAAAATCTTAAGGGTTCAACAGCAGACTTGAAGCAGAAGAAAAAAATCAATGAACTTGAAGAAATCTCATTTGAAATCATTGAGGCAGAGGAGCAAAAAGAAAAGAGAACTAAGAAAATTAAAGAGCCTGAGGAACTATAGGGCATCATTAAATTGTCATATAGGACATGATGAAAAAAGTGACTCACCACATACAAGAGAGTTTGTATAAGATTATCAGCAGGTTCTCAGCAAAACCTTGCAAGTCAGAAGACAATGGAATGATATATTCTGAAAAGAAGAAAATTGTCAACCAAGAATACTGTATTTGGCAAAACTGTCCTTCAAATATGAAGGAGAGAAATGACATACCACATACAAAATCTTCCATAAGATTATCAGCAGATTTACCAGAAACTGTGGAGGCCAATGTATTCAAAGCACTGAAGAATAAAATTCAACCAAGATTCGTATGTCCAGTAAAACTGTACTTCAAAAATTAGGGAGAAATAATGACATTCCCAGATAAACAAAAGCTGAGAGAATGCATTACCACTAGCCCTGTCCAGCAAGAAATGCTGAAAGGAGTCCTGCAGAGTAAAATGAAACACTACACAGTAACTTAAAGCTATATGAAGAAATAAAGATATCAGTAAAGGTAAATACATGGCAATTATAAAAGTTACTGTTATCCTAACAGCAGTTTGTAACATTTGGTTTTCTATATAACATAAATAACTACATTTTTTTAAATTCTTAGTCCAAGACCTGGTATTGTTGTACCTTTGTAACTCAACATTTTTGTTTCTTTACATAATTTAAAAGATTAATGCTTTTAAAAGAATTCTTAGTTTGTTTGGGGGTGCACAATATATGTAGATGTAGTTTTACAACATCAACATCCAAAAGGGATGGGGACAGAGCTGTAAGGGAGGAGGGGTTTTGTATGTTATTGAAAGTAAACTGGTATAAATTCAGATTAGAATATTACAACTTCAGAATATTAAATATAATCCCCATGGTAACCACAAAGACTGTAGCTATAGAATATACACAAAAGAAAAGGGGAAAGGAACTTAAACATTTTGCTATAAAAAATGAACTAAAGACAAAAGACAGTAATGCAGGAAATAAGGGAACTAAAAGCTAAGGAGGACATTATATATCAATAAAAGGCCCAGTATCTCTAGAAGATATAACATTTACATAACCTAATGACAGGCCACCAAACTATGAAGCAAAAACTGACAGAATTAAAGGAAGAAATAGAAAGCTCTATATCAATAGTTGGAGACTTCAGTACTCACTCTTAAAAATGTATAGAATGACCAGTCAGAAGATAAGTGGAAAGAGAGAACTTAAACAATACAATAAACCAAGGAGATCTAACAGTTATATACAGAACGTCCTACCCAACAACAACAGTATACACATTCTTTTCAGTTAGCATGGGGCATATGCCAGGATAGACCATATGTTAGGCCACAAATTAAGTCACAACAGATTTTGAATGATAGATATCGTACAAAGTATGTATCTTCATTCTATGAGCTAGTATCACCCTGATATCAAAGCCAGACAAAGACACTACAGGAAAACCATAGATCATTGTTGTAAAAATCCTCAGCAAAATACAGCAAACCAAATTCAACATATCACATGGATTATACACCATAGCCAAATAAGGTTTATTCAAGAATACAAGGATGGTTCGACATACAAAAAATTAAAAAATGGGATACAACAGATTAGCAGAAAGAATGACAAAGACCACATAATCATCTCGATTGATGCAGAAAATGCATTTGACAAGATTCAACATACTTTCATGATGAACATCCTCAACAGATGAAGAATAGAAGGAAACTACCTCCTAAAAGCCCTGTGTGAAACACTCACAGTGAACATCATACTCAGTGGTAAAGTACTGAAAGCTTTTCCTCTAAGATCAGGAACAAGTATGTATGCTTTCATCTCTTCTATTCAGCATAGTGCTGGAGGTTCTAGCCAGAAAAATTAGGCAATGAATGGAAATAAAAGGCATTCAATTTGGAAAGGAAGAAACAAAAGTATCTCTTTGCAGATGACATTATATTTAATTTAGAAAACCCTTAAGATTCTACACAGAAAAACTGTTAGAACAAACAAATTCAGCAAAGTTGCATGGTACAAAAAGACAACACACAAAAATTGGTTGTATTTCTGAATACTATCAATGAACAACCTGAAAAGGAAATTAAGAAAACAATTCCATTATTAATAGCATCAAAAAGAATAAAATTAGGAGTAAGTCTCACCAAAAAGGTGTAAAACTCATACACTGATAACTATAAAACATTGCTGAAAAAATTAAAGGTATAACTAGAAAGACATCTCATGTTCATGGATTGGCATAATTAATATTAGGATGTTGTACTACTCAAAGCAGTCTAAAAATTCAGCACAATCCCTATCAAAATTCCAACAGCATTTTTTGAAGAAAAGAAAAATACATCCTAAAATTCATATGGAATCTCAAAGGATTCTGAATAGCCAAAACAGTCCTGAAAAAGAAAGACAAATTGGAGTGGTCATACATACTGATTTTGAAACATATTACAAAGCAATAGTAATCAAAACAGTGTGGTGCTTTTATAAAGACATTTAGATTCCTATTCTATTCCATATTTCTAATAGAATAGGAATCCAGAAGTAAAACTTTGTAAATATGGTCAAGTGTTGTTCGACCATTCAGTCGGGAAAGGATAGTCTCTTCAGCAAATGGTACTGGGAAAACTGGATATCCACATCAAAAGGATGAATTTGGTCACTTGCCTAACATCATATATAAAAATTAGCTCAAAATGGGTCAAAGATCTATGCATAAGACCTAAAACTATAAAGTTCCTAGGAGAAAACATAGGGGAAAAGCTTCATGACATTGGATTTGGTATTGATTTTTCTGATATGACACCAAAGGCACAGGCAAAAAGCAAAAATAGACAAATGGAACTATATCAAATTAAGAATTTCTGTGAATCAAAGTATACAATCACAAGTGAAAAGGCAATCTGAGGAATAAGAGAATATATTTTTAAATCATATATCTGATAAGTGACTAATATCCAGAATATATAAAGAATTCCTACAACCCATCACAACGAAAACAAACTGGTTTTAGAAAGGGCAGTGGACTTGAATAGACATTTCTCCAGAGATGATATAAAAATGGCCAACAAGCAAATGAAACAATGCTCAACATCACTAGTCATTAGAAAATGCAAAGCAAAGCCAGAATTAGATATCATCAGGATGGCTACTATAAAAAAATTGTTATTAAACAAAATAGGTGTGAGTAGGATTGTAAAATGTTGCAATCTCTATGGAAAACTATATGGTGGCTCCTCAAAAAATTTAAAATAGTTACCATATCATCTACCAATCCCACTGTGGGCATATGTGCAAAAGAATTTGTATCAGGGATACAAGAGATATCTGCACACCCAGTTCATAGCAGCATTATTCACAATAGCCAAGAGGTGGAAACAATTCAAATGTCCATCAGCAAATGACTAGATAAAGTGTGTTTGTGTGTGTGTGTATAAAATGTACACACACACACACACACACACACAATGGAATATTAATTCTGCTTTAAATAGGAAAGAAATCCTCTCACATGCTACAGCATGGATGGTAACATAATGAAGACATTATACTAAGTGAAATAAGCAGTTCACAATGACACTGCATGGTTTGACTTACATAAGAAACCTACAGTAATCAGATTCATAGAAACAGCAAATGAAATGTTGGTTACCAAGGGCTGGGAGGAGGAGGAAATGGGGAGTTATTGTTCAGTGTGTACAGAGTTTCAGTTTTAGAAGATAGGAAAGTTCAGATCTCCTTCACAACTATGTGAATATACTTAAAGCTATCAAATGTACACTCAAAAATTGCTAAGATGGTAAATTTTATGGTGTTTTTTTTTTTTACCACAATTAAAAATTTTTTTAAAAGTGAACAGTAGCAAATGCTGGCAAAAAAGTGGAGATACAGGAAGTCATACATTTTTGGTGGGAATGTAACTGGCACAATCAATTTGGAAAATAGTTTGGCAGTTTCTTTAAAAAAAAAATATCATAAACTTATTATATGACCCAGCTGAATTCTACTTCCAGATGCCCAACCAAGGGAGATGAAAACATGTGTCTACCAAAGACTTGCTTATGAATGTTCACAGCAGCATTATAGTAACCAAAAAGTGGAAACAACCCAAATGTCCATCACCTGTTGAATGGGTAAATAAGATGTGCTATGTCCATACACCGGAATACTATTCAGTCATAAAAAGGAACAAGCTGTTGATACATGCTATGACATGAAAAACCTCAAAAGATATTAAGCTAAATAAAAGGAAACCATACGTATGAGATCACATATTGTGTAATTCCATATATATGAAATACCCAGAAAAGCATATCAATAGAGGCAGAAAGTAGATGAGTGTTTGCCTGGGGCTAGGAGTGGGAATGGGAATTAACTGTAAATAGATATGAAGGATCTTATTTCAGCAATGAAGTTGTTCTAAAATATTGGTTATGGTGATGATTGCCAAATTTGATGAACTTACAACAAATCGTTGAATGTACATTTAAAATGGGTGAATTTTATGGTTGGTCAATAAAGTTTTTTAAATACAAAAAACATTTGGGAAAGAAGAGTATATTCAAGATTCAGCACCATTCCTGAGGAGTCAAAAGAAAGTGATAATGATAAACAAGGTAGGGAGGGTAAAAAAACAAACTTTCAGAACATCAAAAAGCTTTACAAGAAAAGAATGATTTTCTTAGTATACTATATGGATTTCTAATGTGGTAAATAATTTTAACATAGTCCTCATAAATGCTCTTTAGTTACATGTTTAGAATCAATTTATATACAAAACAAAGAAGACAATTTTATTAGTCTTGACGATGGAAAATGGAAAAGTATAGAAGATAATGGTTGGGAGATAAAAAGGGATAAGAGCTCTGAGAATAGTAGGGCTGTTATCCTTATCTTACAAAATGGGGAGTCCAGAGATACTATCTATAGATGATAAAATATAGAGATAAACTTATTTAGGAAGAAGAGAAGTGGGGAAGTGGCATAAGTGAGTTAAATCCTTACCTAGCATAGCAGAAACCAATAGATAATGTCTAAAGCTGGCAAATCAAGAAATACTGATAAAAGCATTTTTTTTTAAATGCTTACAATAACCCTTAGAAGAAAAAGTTAAAATGTAGTCCTTCTAAGGTACGGGAGGGGATAAGTGGAGGTGCAGAGTAGTGTCAGTGGAAGACTGTCTTTCATCATAAATGTAGCACAAGTACTTGATTTTAAAAAATAACTTGTATCAATTAATAAAATTAGAGAAAAGTTATATGCATTTTGGAAGACAAAAATATCCCATCCCACCTCCTCACCAAAAAGAAAATATGGTACATGCTTAGAATGATCATTCTTATTCGTGATGACTAAACCATGCCATGATCCATGAGTTGATGTTCCCAGAGAATATGCCTACCCTGGTATTTGACAGGTTGCCACAAATTTGGTGCTTCCTCATTCTTTGACGTTCCGAAGTCTGATCTCCTGGTCCTGGAGTAAAGGAAAACCAACATAAGGTGCATGCCTGCCTGCTATGTGACAGGCATGTACACTGGCTTTGGTAAGGTTAGAATTGTGACCACATAAATCATAAGGACACTGAGACTTAGAAAGGGTAAATTATTTAAATAAAGGATGGAGCTGGTTTTAAAACAGACAAGAATAAATAAGGTCTGTGCGCTACCAAAGCCCATGTTCTTTACCTGCATCAGCTGGGCTTTGCAGTTAGGATCATTTCACCAGTAACAGAAAACCCAACTGAGACTTGCTTAAACAATAAGGATATACATCAGCTCATGTTCCTAGAAGTTCAGCAGTGATGTGGACATCATGGTTGCTTGATCGAGAAGCTCAACAGAGTCATTTAAGAACCGGTTGCTGTTTTTCTATTGTGATATCCAAAGTTTTGAGTTTATCCTGAGACTGATATTCAGGTTCAGTGAGGAGGCTAAATTGCCAGGCTGTCTGTTAAAATCAGAAAGTCTATAATCCTGAGCCTCCAGGCTCTTAGATTTCCCTCTTTTGTAAGGACCTGGACTTCTTTCTCTCTCCCAGGAGTCTGTCTTTCAGCAACAGACACACTTGTTGACGCATGGCCTTTCCTTGGACTTAGTACTTATGGAAGCCTAATGCTCACTGTCATCCAGGAGATTGAGAAGAAATACTTCTCGTTTTTTCTCCCACAGGGACAAAATCTGCCTGGACGAGCCTTTTTTCTTCGTTACGTAGTACAGACTCTGGAAGACGACTTCCAGCAGATCCTGAGGAAGCAACGACAGCACCTGCAGCAATCCATTGCGAGCGCTGTGCTGTCCTGTGACAAGCAGCCCCACAACGTCAGGTAACTGGCAATCTGAACCCGGGATGACAGGCTATGGGGGCCTAGATGGGCAACCGCTCAAGGTTGGAGAATACCAGGTAGATGAATTTTCTGGTCACTAGGTAGTATAACAGGGACAGGTTTTCAAACTATAGACAATCCTTAAAGAAACGTTCTGTACCAACTATGTGCCAGGACCATAGCTTGAGTGGTTTTTCTCACAAGACCATCAGACTTGTTCGGTCTATTTCAGAATTGTCCAGACAACCTTGTGAGATCCAGAGGGAAACCTTTAACTTGTGTAAAACTTTTCATAGCTTTTATAAGCCTAGATTTACTTCCATCCCCCTAATTAACTCAAAATAAATCCACTTGTCACTATTAATTTCCAAAAAGTAATAGGTCATGTGGCTGAAAATAAGACATCACAGTATGGTAGGCATGTGCTCTTTTTTGGTAGACTCAGGGCCAGAGCTGGAAGCTTCATAGCAGGTACTACCATATCCTTACCCAGGGGGGGAAATGTGATTTCTTCAGTGGGGATCTCAAGCGAGAATTTTCCTCCTAGAACTACAAATGTTGGTTTTTTGGAAATAGTTCTTACCAGACTATTATACCAACATCCCTTTTTTCAGAGCATCACTGAAATTCTTCCACTCCTGTTTACATTCCCACATGTTCTTGCATCTTTGTTAAGAATAGCTTTTACTGGCCAATATGGGATATTGATTATCATAAGTCCTTTAATAAAAAAGTTTCATTATGTTTTGCGCATCAGTCAGCTTTTTCCTCCATGGTTTGCCTGCCTATACCATTTCCCTAAATGTGATATTCTATATAAAGTGTAAATGTTAATGATTTTAGGGGCAGAAAATTAGGAAGTGGAGAATCTACCAAGAGCACAAGATAGCACAGTTGAATTTTAAATAGAAAAATAACAATTTAGATAATGAAAGCAGCTCTTTGACCATTCTGCTTTAAGGACACGGCATTGGACTGAGTGGGAGATGGGAGGCATGAACCCACTCAATCCAATGTCAAGTCACTCACTTGCATTTCCACATCTCATGGTGTGAGCCTCTCACTATATGGACTGTGATTCTTGGGTTTAAAAATAGGTTCTTGTACCTCAAATTGCAAGGCCATTTTGTGCATTATCAATGGAAAAAAAATCATCTGTTCAAGGGAAGGAAAACAAGCTGTTTTTGACTCAGTAAGCAATGGATATTAGATTAAAGGTATGATTCATATATATATATCTATGTATATATCAAAACTCGTCGAATAAAAACTTGTATGAAATTTATTGTATGTAAATTATACCTCAAAGATGACTTTTTAAAAAAGGGAGATGGTAATTCAGTCATATGACCCCTTCTTAAGGGATTTTCTTTTCTTTTTTAACTACATGCAAAAACTATTTCTACAACATTTAAGAAATACACTAGTCCCCAGATCCCTTTCCTTGCATTTTCCTTTCCCACAGGGATAACAACTTTGGATTTTGTTATCTAAGTGACTCTTTGGCTATTTACCTTTGCATGGCTAAGTAGCATGCTTGTGTTCCTAACTCTTGGTTTCCCATTATTAGCTATTATATATTTCATTAGCTTCCCACATGAAAGATGAGGAGTTGGCTCTTTTTCCTCCCTCCCTTCTCCATGGCACACACACATATTTCCCAGCCCCCAGACCAGTATATATCATAATTTTGTTTATATTAGTATTCAGTGTTTCAATTACTATGATGATGTAGGCTGGTCAGAGTTGAGCCAAGTACTAAGCTATGATTACTTTTCCTTTAACTCATACCTTTGTTTTCCTTTAATAATTGCATTGTTTTTAGTTTCCTTGTACTCTGTGCATATTGGAAGTCAACCCCAAATTCTCTGCTCTTTGGTCTACATCTCCTCTCAAAATGTTTATAAACACTGAGTGGTCTTATCAACTTCTTCTTCCTGAAGATCTGGTGGAACTTTTCGGCCTTCTTCAACCTGGACTGATTGTCCTCTTTACTACTCTTCATTATAAATGTGAGAATTCCTTTCATCTGTTTCCAGTGTTGGATCTCTTGTTTGTTTGTTTGTTTGTTTGTTTGTTCTGTGTCTTCTCTTTCTTGGTTTACTCCCTCATTTTAAAGGAATACCATCTTAGAGAAGAATATGAGAAGTAAAATTTTTTAGATCTTGTATGTCTGTAAACATCGTTATTTCCCCACACATTGACTGATAACTGAGTGTAGATATTTAGGTTAGAAACAACTTTTCTACAGAACATTGAAGGAAATCATCCATTTTCTTCTAGCTTCCAGAATTGGTGGTAAGAAGTCATACACTACTACTTTGATTATTGATTCTTTGTATATGCCCTAGTTTTTTCCTCTGGGAGTTTATAGAATCTTTTTCCCAAGTATGCTTCCTGTAGGTCTAAGATTCATCCATTGTGCTGGGCGTCTAGTGGGCCATTTCAGCCTAGAAACATATTCTTCATTCCTAGAAAATAGAGTTTTTATTTCTGTTAGTTTTTAATTTCCAAGATCCCTTTTTTTTACTTTTTCTCTAAATAGTCCTTTTTAAAAATAATTAATAGTGTTCTGTTCTTGTTTTCTTCTTTCATGGATCCATATCTTCTCATATCTTTTTTTCTTTGCTATCATTAATGTACAATTACATGAACAACATTATGGTTACTAGATTCCCCCCATTATCAAGTCCCCACCACATACTTCATTACAGTCACCATCCATCAGCATCTTCTCATATCTTTGACAATACCATTGATAGCTTTTGTTTTGCTTATTCTCTGCATAATGTCTGTTCTCTCCAGATTGCTTTTTTGGAGGGAGGGAAGGATTAGTTTGGGCTATTTTGGTCTTTATCTCTCATCTTAGAATATTTCCGTAGATGTCCAGAAAACTTTGGTAGTCTATCCACCTTTAAGGGTGACAAACTCAAAAGCTGAGGGAAGCTCTGAGTGCTTGGGAGGACTTGCCATTTCTGAGCTTCCTGGAAGGTGGAACTGACTTGGCAGTGTCAGTGTCTTTTAGGTCTTTCCTCTGGATAGGTTTTCCAGAGAAGACTTCCCATTTCCTACCTGAAGGATAAAGGCTGGGATGCCAGGTCTCTGGAAGATGGGTGTGGAAAGATGGCCAGGGCCTTTGCACTCAGCATGCACATGTTTACTCAGGGCCCTGGTGTTGCTTGGATGCCTTTGCCTCCCACCTATGCTCAGTGAACCAGTCCACCGAGCCCCACATCTCCACAGAATTAACTGGTAGTCTGCAGGTTTGGAGAAGATCTAAGGCTCCAAAATTTTCTTAAACAGCTTACAGGCCATCATACTTATTTTAACTTTTCCCTTTTCACCTCACTTCAGAGAAGACTTCTACTGCTGTTTGCGGGCTTATTGAAGATCCCTTTTTTTTCCTTTTTTAGTATATAGGATTAAATAGGATTGCGCTTGTCTACTTCTGGTTTAGGATTCAGCTTTCATAGTCTGCAAAGTCAGTTAAATTCTAGCCCCTTGCAAAAGTGAAAGACTTACATTAAACATTATCCTTAAAACATGACACACTTGCCTTCTTTACTTAATTGGTTCTCTTTGATTTTATAAAGAGTATTTCTTAACCCACCCCCCAAATCAAAGCCTGGGACCTTGACAATTACCTACATCTTACCACACATCCATCTCCCACCACCTGCTTTTGTACCTTCCTGCGCCCAAAGTAATCAACACCCTGAATGTTCATCATTTCCTTTCCTTTTTATGTAGTTTTACTGCTTATTTTTATTGCAGTTCTTTGTAGCTGTATATAAAAGGATATCATGATGGATGTAATCCATTGGGCTTTTTTCATTTAATGTGGTAGAGTACTGAATTGTACCCATATTGTTACATATCACTGTAGCTTATTTATTCTCACCACTCTGTAGTATTCTATTTTGTGAATATACTTAATTTACCTTACAGCTTCCAAAATTTAACTGTTATTGTCCCNAAATTAGATATGTGTATTCAGTCCACCATTTTTACCTGGGTTACCTAAATGCTCATCAAAGTAATTTTGCCTAGATGAGATGTTTTTACCTTACTAACTTTTAGAGCCTACACCCTCTATAAAGTATGACTCTACTGCTCTAAACCTTGGTCATTAGCATTAATAGATGACACCTAATAATAGAAAGCCAGAAAGGACTTCTGTGGTCATCCAGTCCGACTTTCCACCTACACAAGGAATGTTCCTGGCCAGGAAGACACAGGTACTCTTTGACTTCAGTGGTAACTTTCAATAATAGTAACTAAGAAAAAATGTTGATATTTCAGTTAGCTTTTGTAACCTTACTACAATTACATGTGGGGTTTCCTTTAGACATGTTTAAATATTGAAAATAGCCTAAGTGCCCTCTTTGTTGCCTTAGGGAAACGTAGCGGTCTAGGAGCCCAGGTTAAGTTAGACTGCAGTTTTCAGCACCTCACGATAAGACTTAAGTTTAAACTTTTTCTTTGTCTTTTTTCCGTTGCAGGGATGTTATAAAGTGGTTGGTCAGAGTAGTAACTGAAGATGGATTAACACAGTCCCCAAATGGGAGTCAGACCTCTTCAAGAACAGGAATCTTGAAGACCAGCAGTAACCTCCCTTCTCCCCAGCCTAACCTGACAAAGAGCACCAATCAGCTGTAAGGGCAGGCAGAAGTTCTTTCCTGAGACTGTTGGGATATACTGTTTTAGAGAAGAGCATCGTTCCCTAAAAGCAGTTTCCCCACAGTTAACAAGCTTTTATAACGTAGACTGATTCTTACTAAAGACTGTCATAGTGTGACTAAAGGCTAAATTTCTAATGCCAAAGGTAAAATAAAAGCAGACTTTCCCCCAGATGAATAGGACTTCACTAAGTAAATACAAATTCACAAAGATGAAACAAGATAAAGCTAGGACATACTGTCCTCCCTTTCCTGGATTCCAAGAGACAATACAGGATTGCTACTCAGCTCTTCAGCTGTCCAAGAAGAGGAGACATGGGTAGTGAGTGTTCCAGCGGCCTCTAGTCCTCAAGGACCTACACCTCTCCCTCCAGTCCTGGGAGAAGAATAGCAGTTCAACCTGAAGATTCCAGCAGGTTATAAGAGCAAATGGGTTAGACCAGGGCAAGTCCCATTATCTCAGAACACACTGGGAAGAGTTTCCTGGCATTTCTTTTATGGAACTGAGAATGGTCTTGGCATTTTTTAAGAGACACTGAGATTTTAGAGCTGGAGCTTCCCTTGCACAAGTAACTGACTATTGTTTGTCAACCAAACTGATAAAGCCAGTCACACTTGACATTTCAAATATAGGATTTGTGCCTAAACTCACAATGCTATATTGTAATATAGTTGTACCAACTTGATTAGCATATAAGGCCTGTGAATTTTAACTAATTTAGGAGACAATCTTGTATCTAAAGGAAGAATATTTTGGAACAATGAAGCATTTGCTTAGCAGATTGGAACAAAACCCTAGTATATAGACCCAAAAGAGAGGCACACTGCTCTTTCAGTGGAAGCTAATCTCATATAATAATAGTAATTTAGGGTAAGTAAATATTAGTATAAATAAAAATAGAGCCTACTAATAAACAATTTATCATGATCTTAACAACAGTAGGTACTACCAGTTACCACTGAATGCCTATCTGCCAGATATCTTACACAGCATTCACAACTTTATGAAATAAGTGGTTTTATTCCCTCTTTTCAGAGATAAGAATTGGACTTTGAGCAATTTAATAATTTGTCAAAAGTTGAACAACTCATCATTGCAGAGCCAGAATCTGATGCCAGAGCCCCTGGTTCACCTATTAATATGACTTGCTGCAGATTTTCCACAAATAGAGCCCTTTCTTCCATCACAAATAATAATTCATGTTAGAAAAGCCTGACTTTAAGCCAGGCTCACTTTTCTGAAGGATTGCCCAGATTCCTTCTGTTACATGAGCCTGGTTATCTCCCACAGCTGGGCCTGTGGGAAAGAGGGTCACATTCCACCAGTTGAAGTTCTGAGATTTAACTTAGTAACTAACTGTAATTGTAAAGGAACTAGTAACAGGAGAAAACTATGTAGTAAATACGTATTTTCTCTATGTCAAAGAAAGTCAAATAATTATTACTCATTCTAGAACTATTCATCTGTAAAATAGAGAAGTTATCCTTAAATTTCTCTAGATCCTTAAAATTAGATGTTCCTATTTTTAAGCTTCAAAGCAGCTTGCTTTACACCTCAACCACAGCTTTACCTCATTTTTTTTCTGAAAGGTCCAGATAGTATGATCTGGCAAAGGGATTCAAGTAGGTGAAAGTGCTAAATAGAAGCATTCTGACAGCTTGAGCAGTTCTCCCTGACTGAGTGTGTTCTTGCAGGCTCCTTTAGTACACTGGGAGGGGCCTTAGCTCAGCCATCCAGGTGGCTGTCCGTCAACCATTCCACTCACATGTGCTCTGTGTTCTGGACTCAGGGTTGTGTGCCAACTGCAGAGGATGCTGTCCATAGCCGTGGAAGTGGACAGGACCCCCACCTGCAGCTCCAATAAAATTGCTGAGATGATGTTTGGGTTTGTGCTGGACATTCCTGAGAGGAGTCAAAGGTGAGAATTTGTTTTTGTTTTGTTTTTATGTTTTTGTTTTTTATTTTGGTATCATTAATCTGCAATTACATGAGCAACATTATGGTTACTAGACTCCCCCCATCATCAAGTCCCCACCACCTACCCCATTACAGTCACTGTCCATCAGCCTAGTAAGATGCTATAGAATCACTAGTTGTCTTCTCTGTGTTGTACAGCCGTCCCTGGACACGCCCCCCCACATTATGTCTGCCAACAGTAATGTCATTTTGTCCCACTTGTCCCTCCCTTCCCACCCATTCTCCCCAGTCCCTTTCCCTTTGGTAACTGTTAGTTCATTCTTAGGTTCTGTGATTCTGCTGCTGTTTTGTACCTTCAGTTTTTTTTTCTTTGTTCTTATGCTCCACAGATGAGTGCAATTATTTGGTACTTGTCTTTCTCCTCCTGGCTTATTTCACTGAGCATAATACCCTCTAGCTCCATCCATGTTGTTGCAAATGGTAGGATTTGTTTTCTTCTTATGGCTGAATAATATTCCATTGTGTATATGTACCACATCTTCTTTATCCATTCATCTACTGTTGGTCACTTACATTGCTTCCATTTCTTGGCTATTGTAAATAGCGCTGCGATAAACATAGGAGTGCATCGGTCTTTTTCAAACTGGGCTGCTGCATTCTTAGGGTAAATTCCTAGAAGTGGAACTCCTGGGTCAAATGGTATTTCTGTTTTGAGTTTTTTGAGGCACCTCCATACTGCTTTCCACAATGGTGAACTAATTTACATTGCCACCAGCAGTGTAGGAAGGTTCCCCTTTCTCTGCATCCTTGCCAACATTTGTTGTTTGTTTTTTGAATGTTGGCCATCCTAACTGGTGTGAGGTGATATCTCACTGTGCTTTTAATTTGCATTTCTCTAATGATTAGCGATGTAGAGCATCTTTTCATGTGCCTGTTGGCCATCTGAATTTCTTCTTTGAAGTGTCTGTTCAGATCCTCTGCCCATTTTTTAATTGGATTATTTGCTTTTTGTTTGTTGAGGTACATGAGCTCCTTATATATTTTGGATGTCAAGCCTGTATCGGATCTGTCATTTATGAATATATTCTCCCATACTGTAGGATGTCTTTTTTTTCTGTTGATGGTGTCCTTTGTTGTACAGAATATTTTTAGTTTGATATAGTCCCACTTGTTCATTTTTGCTTTTGTTTCCCTTGCCTGGGGAGAAATGTTCATGAAAAAGTTCCTCATGTTTATGTCCAAGATATTTTTGGCTATGTTTTTTTCTAAGAGTAAGAGTTTTATGGTTTCATGACTTACATTTAGGTCTTTGATCCATTTTGAGTTTACTTTAGTGTGTGGTGTTAGACAATAATCCAGTTTCATTCTCTTACATGTAGCTATCCACTTTTGCCAACACCAGCTGTTGAAGAGGCTGTCATTTCCCCATTGTATGTCCATGGCTCCTTTATCATATATTAATTGACCGTATATGTTTGGGTTAATATCTGATTCTCTATTCTGTTCCACTGGTCTGTGGATCTGTTCATGTGGCAGTATCGAATTGTCTTGATTACTGTTTCTTTGTAGTAGAGTTTGAAGTTGGGAAGCAAGATCCCTCCCACTTTATTCTTCCTTCTCAGGATTGCTTTGGCTATTTGGGGTCTTTTGTGGTTCCATATGAATTTTAGAACTATTTGTTCCAGTTTGTTGAAGAATGCTGTTTGTATTTTGATAGGGATTGCATTGAATCTGTAGATTGCTTTAGGCAGGATAGCCATTTTGACAATATTAATTCTTTCTAGCCAAGAGCATGGGATGAATTTCCATTTGTTAGTGTCCTCTTCAATTTCTTTTAGGAGTGTCTTATAGTTTTCAGGGTATAGGTTTGTCACTTCCTTGGTTAGGTTTATTCCTGGGTATTTTATTCTATTTGATGCTATTGTGAATGGAATTGTTTTCCTGATTTCTCTTTCTATTAGTTCATTGTTATTGTATAGGAAAGCAACAGATTTCTTTGTATTAATTTTGTATCCTGCAACTTTGCTGAATTCCGATATTAGTTCTAGTAGTTTTGGAGTGGAGTCTTTAAGGTGTTTTATGTACAATATCATGTGATCTGCAAATAGTGACAGTTGAACTTCTTCTTTACCAATCTGAATGCCTTGTATTTCTTTGTTTTGTCTGATTGCTATGGCTAGGAACTCCAGTACTATGTTGAATAGCAGTGGGGAGAGTGGGCATTCTTGTCTTGTTCCTGATTTTAGGTGAAAAGCTTTCAGCATCTCACTGTTAAGTATGATGTTGGCTGTGGGTTTGTCATATATGGCCTTTATTATGTTGAGGTACTTACTTGCCCTCTATACCCATTTTGTCAAGTTTTTATCATGAATGGATGTTGAATTTTGTCGAATGCTTTTTCAGCATCTATGGAGATAATCGTGTGGTTTTTGTCCTTCTTTTTGTTAATGTGGTGGATGATGTTGATGGATTTTTGAATGTTGTACTATCCTTGCATCCCTGAGATGAATCCCACTTGGTCATGGTGTATGATCCTCTTGATATATATTTGAATTTGGTTTGCTAATATTTTGTTGAGTATTTTTGCATCTATGTTCATCAGGGATATTGGTCTGTACTTTTCTTTTATTGTGATGTCTTTGCCTGGTTTTGGTATTAGAGTGATGTTGGCCTCATAGAATGAGATTGGAAGTATTCCCTCCTCTTTTGTTTTTGTGGAAAACTTTAAGGAGAATGGGTATATGTCTTCTCTATATGTCTGGTAAAATTCTGCGGTAAATCCATCTGGCCTGGGGGTTTTGTTCTTTGTTATTTTTTTTATTAACAATTCAATTTCATTGCTGGTAATTTGTCTGTTTAGATTTTGTGTTTCTTCCTTGGTCAGTCTTGGAAGGTTGTGTTTTTCTAGGAAGTTGTCCATTTCTTCTAGGTTTTCTAGCTTGTTAGCATATAGATTTTCATAGTATTCTCTAATAATTCTTTGTATTTCTGTGCAGTTCGTC